TCTCTCTCGTCCCCTTGCTGGCATCCTCCACCTGTTGCACGCCCCTCGCTCCACGCCCCTCCCCCGCCCCCCGCCGGCATGCTGGTGACATAACCAAGTGGCCGAGTTGCCGCCGGCCAGCGAAAGGGGGCGATACGGCTAAAAGGGGGGCGTGGTTACTAAACGCGTTGCTAACGTGTTTAGTTTTTGTTTCTGTTTCTTTCTTGTGCGATGCGCGCTTGGACCACTGCCCGTTGAAATGAGTGCGAAAAGAAGCGAGTGTGCTTGGTCTAGTCGGGCATGCTCGACTAGCAGAGCGCTCAGAGCGTAGCAAACGAGCCGCGATAATGATGTCATAGGTTGCATAGGCAATACTCTGATGCACAGAGCTCTTGAGACTTTATAGATGTGCAAATATAAACGATAGTTGGTCTATCGATATTTATCGATTTTATAACAACAAACCAAAGCCTTAACGTATGTGTTTTTTCCATACTATCTATAATTATTTCTCAATTTTACACCAGAAAATATGATTTAAACTAATACGAATCTATCGATATTTATCGATTTCGTGGCACATTGCCATTATCAGTATTTTGGACAGACAATTTAACTAGGAAGAATTGCAACAGTTGCAAATATGCAAATGATAATACTTAAAAGTGCTAATTCTTCAAAATCTATCGATTTTTATCGATATCAAGAAGGCAGAGTAGTGACTAATGAATTAGGATAGATATATACAGTAAAAAATAGTTCAGATTTATAGCTCTTGATAGCTTTCAAAGAGACCTGAAACAGCTGACTTACAAAGTTATCGATACATATCGATACATCAATTTATTTGCTATAGAACCTTTTGTCGAAAGCAAATTTGAAGAAGTTTAATGGTTGAACAGACACAAGATACATAATTCTCTACTACTTTTCGCATAGTCTATAACATAGCCAATATACCCCGACTGTTTGGCACATTACAGGGTATTAAATACAAAACTGTGCGGTCAAAGTTGGCCACTAGCTGCTGCTCAGGAGCGTCGGAGGGGCCAGCAGCCCGAAGGAGGGGTAAGACCGGCACACACAGACGAAGAGACAAATGGACAGATGGCCAGACGGACAGACAGACGGACAGTTAGCCAGGCCATCGGGCAGGCAGGCAGGCAACAACAGGCAGGCAATGATTTATTTCAGCAATTTATTTGCGTGTTTCGCTTGGCTTTAAGTCTTGTACGTGCTGACGAGCAGAGAAAGTCCATAAATTACACGAGCAGCAGCAGCAGCAGCAGCAGCAGCAACGACCGAGTGACACACACACACACACATGCACACATGCACACACACACACAGGCACACACACACACCTGCACATCGTTGTCTATGTAGGTTTAGGCTTACCTGAAGTAACAGCAGCTGCTCCCACTCCACCGCCTCCGGCTGGATCTCTCTCCCTCTCCCGCTCGCGCTGCAGCTTCCGTATGGTCTTCTTGCAGTCATCCAGCTCGTGGGTGAGCCGCTGCATGGCCTTGTTCTTCAGCGCCAAATCGATGCGCATGCTGCGCACCGAGCTAAGCAGCTGGGAGTCCTGCGGCTGGCCGCCGGCACCGCCGCCGCCAGTTGGGCCATGGCCATGGCTGAGCAGCGACAATGTGGAGTCCGACTGGGAGATGGGCAGCTTGGAGACGCCCAGGGCGGCCGAGGGATTGCGCCGCTGTGCGCCGCTCTGCTTCGAGTTCGGCCGCGACGTGTTGGGCGTCGAGTTGGCCGTGCTGCTGGTGCTGCTGCTGCCGGCCGAGTGCAGCTGCTGCTGATGATGCAGCAGATGCTGCTGGCAGCTGACGCTGGGCGAGGGGCAGCCGATGGTGTTTGTGCTGTGATCCCGCATCGAGGAGCTGCTCGCCAGCGTCTGGGTGCCGGTGGTGCTGCTGCCGCTGCCGCTGCCGCTGCCGCTGCCGATGCCCTTGCTCTGCTCCGTGCCCTGCTGGCCAAGCTCCAGCTCTGCATCCGTTTGGGTGCAGTTGTTGTAGTATCTGTCGGCACGCTTCTGCATAAAGCGATCCAGGGTGCGCACCTGCGACTCGATCTGTTCGTTCAGCTTCGTGTTGATCTCCTGCAGACTGCGGAACAGAGACAGAGATGACCACGAGGGGCTACTCAAGCTTTGCAGCAGACTCACCTGAGCACCTGTGTCTCCAGATCCGCAATGTGCGTCTCGTACTTGGCCTGCACGGAATTGAAGCGCGCCTGCACATTGGCCAGGATCTGCTGCGCCTTACGATCCTGCTCCTTGGCGTCCGACTCCAGCTGTGCGATGCGCTGCTCCAACAGCTTGCGGCTGCTCATGTTCTCCTGGTCGTTCAGCGAACTCATGGTCGTGCTCTTCGAGGCAACTGCAAGATAACAGTTTAGGAATTCGTTCAAGGACTAGCACTGGGGCGTGGCTGCTCACCTATTAGAGCCGACACCGAGTCGGGATGCTTGCGCATGAGGATGCGCTCCATTTCGCGGCACTGGCGCTGCAAGTCCTGTATGATGCGGGCATCCTTCTCCTTGCTCTCGGCCGCCAGTCGCCGCTCCTGCTGCACCTCCTCCAGTTCGCTGCGCAACGAGCGCTCCAGCTGCACCGCCTCATCCCGATCCCGGCGTGCCGACTGCAGCTCGTTGCGCAGCACGCCGGCGCACTCATGCAGATGCTGCACATCCAGCTTGAGCATCTCGGACTCCTCCTGCAGCCGACTGTTTTGCTCGCGCAGAGCGCGCTGCGTCTGCGACAGCGATTCGCTCTGCAGCCGCACCGACGCCAGCCGCTCCTCCGTGTCCTTGAGCTGCTCCTGCAGCTGCTCGATCTCCTGCTTGAGCACATGCTCCCGCGACACGCTGCACGTCCCGATCGGCTCAATGGGCGAGCTCATGGTGTGAACCAAGCGCTTCGGCGAGCTGCCCACCGCCTTCTCCGAGTAGCTGGCCATCGGAGCAATGGGCTGGCTGCTGGCCACTGCCGGCCCCTTGGCCGGCGCCTTGGCCGGTGTCTGTGGCCCAGTCTGGAGCTGTGCCTGTGCCTGTGGCTGTGCCTGTGGCTGGGTGGCGCTGTTGCTGCTGCTGCGGCGTCGATGCAAGCCAACTCCTGCACAATCCTCTGCCTCGGTCAGCTCCTCCATCTGCAGCGAATTCAAATGCAAATAATATTTATTATTTACGGATTAGTCGAGTCGTGAAAGTCCGCCTGCCAAGTGGCCCGGCTGACGGCCTTTGTTGGGTGTGTCAAGTGCGCCGTGCTAACGGCAACACAGACCCCAGCGGGCCCACAGCCAACAAAATAACAACAACAACAACAACAGCAACAGCAACACCGGCAAACACTTTTTATTGTTCACTGTAGTTTCTACGCGCCTTCTCCTTCAACCGTTGCTGCCGTATAGCTCGAAAGCCCCAAACCCCCCCCAAATAAAAACAAAAAACACATTGACACGACAAACCCCCTAGTCTCCCTCCTCTCCTCAGCTACACTTCTCGGAGTTTGGCGAAAAACAATAACAGCAACAGCAACAACAACAACAACAACAACAAGAACTGAAAACCAGTCGAAAAACAACAACAGCAACAGCTACGCAACCAGCTCGCACAGTGCTACCGAAACTAGACAAACAAGCTGAGTAGAATCTATCTTATAATATATATCAACGAAACTCTTTCTATATAGTATATAGATATAGATAGATAGATGGGATATATAGATAAATAGATAGAAAGATAGATAGGTAGATAGGTAGATAGATATATATCTATATAAATAGATATACAGATAGAAAGATAGATGGGTAGATAGATAGATAGAAGGATAGATAGATAGATAGATAGATAGAAAGATAGATAGGTAGATAGATAGGTAGATAGATAGAAGGATAGATAGATAGATAGATAGATAGATAGATAGAAAGATAGATAGATAGATAGATATATAGATAGATAGATAGATAGATAGAAAGATAGATAGGTAGACTGATAGATAGATAGTTAGATAGATATATCGATAGAAAGATAGATAGGTAGATAGATAGATAGATAGGTAGACTGATAGATAGATAGTTAGATAGATATATCGATAGAAAGATAGATAGGTAGATAGATAGATAGATAGGTAGACTGATAGATAGATAGTTAGATGGATAGACTGATAGATAGATGGATAAATATGCTGATATTGCGATAAATAGATAAATGATAGATATACAGACATATAGATAGATAGACAGATAGATAGATAGATAGATAGATAGATAGTTAGATAGTTAGATAGTTAGTTAGTTAGATAGATAGCAATCGTAAGACTCGAAAGCTTTAAGTTGGTAATTCCTTGAAATCGCATATGTGAATTGATATTGATTGATATTACTTGATTGATTGAGCATTGAGCGCAAGTGTTCTACTTCAATATGTTCCCTTATGCTAGAGTTATGATAGTAATGCTAATAGTAAACTTATTACTGTTCACCCACAGTCCACTTGGTAGTTGGCTCTTAATAAAATGGAGCTAACGTTTCCGTACATATCCCTAACGTTGTAACTTATGATGTAGTATCCATAGGGAAACTAATTTACTTATACGATGTATATAAACATAGAGCGGAACTGGGCACAGAACTTAAATCTCTTAATTTTCCTGTATTCTATTGGATGGTCTAAATAGAGACAGTTCTGGGAAGCGATAGGAATATAAAGAATGAGAGATAGAAAGAGATGGATAAAATCAGTTAAATATATGTTTAGATTTCCATTCTACATTCTAGCTAATATCAGCGCAGGGATATATGTACATATCTTCTTCCCGTATTTAGGCATAGACAACTAATATCTAACATTCAAGTAGAAACAACAGTTATGAAAATGCAATAAGATTACGTAAGTCCAAGTATAAAATTACGATCCGTTTGTTTTCATTATGAAATCAGAGAGTCAAGATCTGTTTCAGCATAAATGCATGGGTATGGCAAATGAAATCTGGTACCACTGTGCGTTGGTACGTGCCCTCGCATGTCACACTTGCATGTGTATGTGTGAGTGTGTGTGTGAGTGTCTGTGTGTGTGTGTGTGTGTTGTATTTAACAAGGGTAAGCGATGACGACTTTGGCTACACTGCGCAGATAATTACATTGATGATGTGTGGGTGTGCGTGCATGTGTTTGTGTGTGTGTGTGCTCTGCTGCTCTGCTCTACTCAGCTGCGCTGCGCTGTTCAAGTAACAATAACAACAATGGCCACAGTAACAACAATGCACTCTATGAGGCAGCGGAAATATTGGAAGAAGAAAGTTTTGTGACTCTTCTATGTAACCGAAGTTTGTCCGCACGCCCACGCGTCCAGCTCCTATTGAACGATCTCTCTCCTTCTATACGCCCCTCCCCCCTCTCGCTCGCTCCCTTTTCTTGGACTCGTTCAAGTCTCATTACAAAGCGTTCAGCTTTTTGTGTGTTTTCTTCGGCTTCTTCGCCTTCTTCTTCTCCTTCTCCTTCTTCTTCTTCTTCTTGTGCTTTGCTGACGAGCCACTTGAAGCGCTCTGGCAGCACTCTCGCTTTCATCGCTCAGCTCATTTCGCCGACGGATTCTGGTAGTAGTTGGTAGTTGGCCAAGGCAAATGTCATCCACTGGGTCCCATAGACCAGCTCGACTAACCCATATACGAGTCTTGGGTCTTGTTTCTCATATGTTAATGATGTTTACGTACGTGTTTCGTATTTTTTTGTTTTTGTTTCTTTTTTTTTTTTTTTGTTATTTTGTGTGTGTCTTTTAAATATTTCTCGAAAAAGAAAAAACAAACTCGCTCGCTAATCCCCACTTTCCATTTCATTTAAAATACCTAGCGAGCGAAACATTTTAAACAACTTAAAATATTACAAGAGGTATTTTGTTTTTTCCCTCCTTCATTGAGCCATTGTATGAATGGCGACTCGTGACGTATACGAACTTTTCGACTTAGGTATTTAGGAGAGTGAACTCTTAATCCCAAGGGGAATGTCTGAGACATGTGGCCCAGCATGGGTAGAGCTATAAATCTTCACACTGGCAGCACCATTTCCCCATGTCAAATTTTCTCCATGACAAATTTTCAATCAATAGTTCTTTAAATTTATTATACTATGAGAGATATACCCTGTAATATGTGTCAGAGCATACCAAAAGTATGCTATACTATAGGTCTATTTTCTGAAGAGTCTAGCTTAACCGGCTCTAGTTCTTATCGAAAGTGTGCATGGATTTGTCGATAACATTTTGCAGTGTTTATCGATTTTACATATGCTATCCTTATATGTGATGTGAGAAGAAAGCAATATCATTTGAATATCTAGGTAAACATTACTCAAAGTAGCGTGTTTATCTATAATAATAATCGATACCGAGATAATACAGCAATGAATAGATCATTAGAAATGAATAGATCATATGAGTATAGATTCTAAATGGATTCAATCTACAAATATAAATTTCTAGTTGGAAAAGTTGAATGATATATGTATATTAATAATAGATAATATAGCTATAAATAGAAACTTTTCCTCCGCTTCTATGGATTTCTCTACTTCGAGAGGAAAGTGAATCTTTATGAAGGCAAATTTCCTATCTGTGTCTCATTCGCAATTTGCCTATAGATACTTGTTATGGATAAGTAGATATACTCATGACTATATATATATATGTATATACATAAATACAGAGCAGCGTCAATTGGGTATTTATGTGTATTAAGGACAATTTCACTACTTCAGTCAAATGTTGATTATTTGCAATTACTTGAGCTCCATACGCTCTTCCTCAATTGACAATTGATAAACCGATATACATATATGTAGATATGTGTAGATATGTATACATATATCTAAAGTGAAAGGAGCGGCATTAAAGCGGCGATTGATTAGAGAGCGAGAGTAGATCAGAGCAGAGCTACAACAACAACAACAACAACAATAGCAATAACAAGAGCTGCGCTCATTCAGAAATCATGTCAATGCTTCATAAATTGGAAATCTCAAAAGCCAAGACAACGAGAAGACAACAACAATCGATCAATTTTTGAGTAGCTGCCAATTTCATCTGTTTGTCATTCATTTGTGGGCGGGCACGTCTCACCAGCCACGCCCGGCCCCCAACGCGCTTTGTCAAGCCACAATAAGTCAGATTAAGATAAAGAAAAGCCCATACATATGTATGTATTAAGTGGCATTATGAGCAAATCGAAATCGAAATCGAAATCGATAAACAAGGGCCAGACACTAATTAATGATCGATAAACATAGGCATGGGCCCAGATGTATGTATGTAGAAAGTGCAATCAGCCTTATATATATGTAAATATATATAGCACATGCTCCAAATATCAATCAATAATCGCTGCGTTTATTCAAGTCATTTTCGGTGGGGCATTGAAAGTGCATACACGCATATATGTATATATGTATATCGTATATCGTATCGTCGCGTATGACGTGCAACGTATAATGCGCACTTGGCTACCCAAATGTCAAGATATTCAGATATCGTATAGTTACTATATAAAATATATCGTTGTATAATGCTCACAGCGATTCCATGCTCAGAATTCGACTAGGGAAAACTTAGCTAGCAAAATATATTATATAACAGTTTGCAAAGAAAGTCAATCCGGATGGGGAATCCCCATTAAGAGTAAACAAAAACTATTTACAGATAGTAAAAATAAAAAATAAAAAAATACTGGGTATGTGCGATAATTGTTGGGCAGGTACTTCTGAGACTGTAGACTTTAAGCCATGGTATTATGTATTAACATAAGTCAGAGAAGAAGAAGATGATGATGAAGATGAAATGGAATGGAATAGAAAAGATAACAACAGCAACAGCAACATTAATATTATGATTATAATCAAATCAACCCCTGGAAAGAAAGCGAGAGCGGGCGGCAGTTGGTGACATTTGTCTACGAACCGATTTGAAAATTAACATAAAAGATTCAACAACAACAGCAGCAGCAGCAACAACAGCAACAACAACAGCAGCAACAACAACAAATAGCATCGCATTTATGAAGATTCATGCAACCGATAAAAGCGGGCGACGCTCAACGCTCGCGTCCCACAAGGAAGAGAGGCGTCGCTGTCGCAGCTAGCGTCGCAGTCGCCGCTAACGTCGCTGTTACTGTAGCTGTTGCTCGTGCTGTTGCTCGTGCTGCTGCTGGTGCTGCTGCTGGTGCTGGTCACAAGCAATCGCCACAATCTACATACATAACACGATTGCCCCACACACACACACGCACACACACACACACACACATATACACAGAGGCATGCATACAGTAAGCGGACACTCGCTCGCACTGAGCGCTGACTGCGCTGCCAACGGCGCCGTCGAGAGAGAAATATCGAAAATGAAATGGCAATACTGTCGAAGCGTTGGTATAAAAGCTCCACTCCACCAATGGGACATGTCTCATTACGGTTTACTGTTAGATCTCGTTAAGATGTACGACGCGAGATCAAGAGCAGCATTTCAAGCCACAACAACAACAACAGCAACAACAACTACAAAAATAACTACTATGACAACAACAACAGCTCTACTGCTGCTGGTGTTGGCGGCCAACCAAACGGCGGCCATGTCACTGGATCGCTTGACCCTGGAGCGCAACGAATTGTCGGCGCCAGCCGAAACCCAACCTGAATCGCAGCCAGCCACCGTTGTCGTGGATGACATGAAGATGGCCGCGGTGCCGGCGAATGGCGCCACGGATATATTCATGCTGGTGCCAGAGTCTGTGGCCAGCCAGCTGGACGAGACGGAGCATGTGAATCGCAACACCATCGAGGAGACTGAAGCGCAGGCCGAGGCCGCAGCTGAGGCAGAGGCGGCCGCAGAGGCTGAGAATGCAGCGATGGGCGAGAGCGCCGATATGCTGATGCTGGAGAGCGAAGATGCGCCGGTCATGCAGCTGGTGGAGCTGCCCAGCGATGTGGTTGAGGCACAGACCGAGCGAACTGAACAGGCCGACATGGAGCCGGTGGCAGCGGAGATCGCATCGCCGGAGCTGATCGAGGAGCATGTGGTTGAGCAGCCCATGGAGCAGTCTGTGGAGCAAGCACAGCTGGAGGCCATGGCAGAGGCGACTACCGAGGCAGTTCAGCAAGCCAACGAGGAGGCGCAGGCCGACGATGAGCTGCTGGCCGAGGAGAGCACGCCAGCTGCCACGGATGAGCAGAACAGCCCGGCTGAGCCAGTGGAGCAGCAAGCGGACTCAGAGCCAGCTGAATCCCAGCCAGATCCAATCGTGGAGCAACAGCAGGAGCCAGTGGCCGTTGCTGAGAACGAAGTGGACACCACCGAGGCATCATCATCCATGCTGGACCCCATCTCGTCGAATATTGAGCAAGGCCTGAGTGCAGCCATGAGCGAGCTGCTGCCCGAGGAGCTGAACGCAACCGAAGCCGACGAGCAGACCCAGCCGGACGAGCAGTCACTCGGCCCAGCTGAGGAGACACCAGCAGAGCAGCCAGTCGAAGATTTCGAGACACAAACGGATGCTGCTGAGCCGATAATGGAGACAGCCACGGAACAGCTGATCGAGGAAGCCATGCCAGTGGCCAGTGATGCCGCTGAAGAGCAACAAACGCCAGAGGAGAGCCAAAAAGATGCCGAAACATTAGTGGAGGAGCCAGTGGCAGCTCCAGCTGAAATTCCAGTGGCAACACTCGTCGAAGCCCCAGTGGAAATTCCAGACGAAACTCCAGCTGAAGCTCTGGCTGAAACTCCAGTTGAAGCCCCAGTAGAAGCTCCAGCTCAAACCCCAATTGAGGCTCCAGCTGAAACTCTAGCTGATGCACCAGAAGAAGCCCCAGTTGAAACTCCAGCTGAAGCTCCAATAGAAACTCCAGCTGAAGCTCCAGGTGAAGCTCCTGCTGAAACTCCAGTTGAGACTCCAGTCGAGACTCCCGTAGAAATTCCAGTGCAAACTCCAGTTAAAGCCGAGTCGGAACCCATCGTCGCGGAGGCTGAGAAGGAAACCTTGAACGATGCCGAATCACAGCTTATCGAAGTTCTCAGTGAGCCTGAACAAAACGAGGAGGAAGCTGGCAAACCAACGGCAGCTGCTGTCGAGCCGGAGGTGCAGCCGGAAGCGGAGCAAGCTGTGGAGGAGCAGCCAGAAGAAACGCAAAAGCAAAATGAGATCTTGGCTGATGAAGTAATCGATGCTGAGCCACAAGCTGAAGCTGCAACTGAAGCTGAGCCACAGTCAGAGCCTCAGTCAGAGCCAGAGACAATCCAAGCTGAGCCAGAAGCAGAGGAGCAGATTGTGCCACAAGCTGAGCCGGAAGCAGAGCCACAAGATGATGTGCCAGCTGAAATGATTGCAGAAATTCCAGATGAGGTCCCAGCTGAAATCCAAGCAGAGATTCCAGCTGAAATCGCTGCAGAAATTCCCGCAGAGATACCAGCTGAAACTCCAGCAGAGATCCCTGCCGAGATTCCCGCCAAGACTCCTGCTGAAACTCTAGTCGAAATAGCTGCTGATGCTCCCGCTGAGATCCCCTCTGAAATTCCCGCTGAAGTTGCAGTCGAAATTCCAGCTGCTCCTCAGCCAGAGCCAGAGCAATCGATCCTGACCACAATCATACCCGCCGTAGTGCCACAGACACCCCAGCGCGAGTCGGAGCCCATTCAGGTCATCGATAGCGTGTTGAACTATGTGAATGCTTCATTCATACAGCAGGATCCGTTGCCAGACATGGACGCGGAGCAGGAGCAGGAGACGGCCACAGAGAGTGCATTCAATGCGCAGCTGAGACGCTACGATGGAGCCCAGCTCTGGCGTATTGTGGTGCAAACGGACAAGGACAAGAAGCTGGCCGATGAGCTGCAAACGAAATACGGTAGGTGCCACATGCCACATGCCACAGGCCTCTTCCTATCTGCCTCTCTCCCATCTATCTCCCGCAGATGGACAGCTGTGGAAGGAGGTGAAACAGGAGGTGGACTACCTGCTGAAGCCACAGGTGCTGGCCGCTGCTGAGCGTCACATACGCGCCGCGAATCTATCGCGCATCGTGCTGATCGATAACCTGCAGCAGGTTATCGAAGTCGAGAATCCCCCCGCCGAACAAATCGCCGAGCTCCAGAATCGCAAGGGTGAGTGCCCAAAGCAAAAGTATAACGAGGAAGAAGAAGAAGAAGAACTGAAATGAAAGCATATGCAAATTTTTGGGGTAGCATTTGGGTGTCGCCATAAATGAGCTTTTAATGCAGCTAATAGCTGAGGCGTGCGAAAAGTCATAAAACGAAAAGTGTCACAAGGCACGATAACGGTGCAAAGGTAGAGCAGAAACTTGAGTGAGTCGACCATAGATACCCTGTACAATGCAGCTATTCGTAACGGTTCTCAATTCAATTGAAATATGCGCCCAATCTATAGATCGATATAGATTTATCGATTATTTGAATATAGAAATTTTTTCTGAATTACTCTATGAAACATAGCTAGACATGAGCTAAAAGTGATTTGTATATTTCTAATCTGTATAGCTGTACGTCAAATGTAGTGCCAATAAGTCTCATTCATGATCGTTACCAATCGATATTTATCGAACTTAACTGAGTGAATAGATACATGCAATAATCGATCACTTCTTTCAATTAGCTTAGGCCATCATCATATGACATTTAACCCAATATACCCCATATCAAGCACTTCGCTTGGCAAGGTATATCAGAGGAACAGACCGTGAAGGTGGTTCAAAATTTATGCAATCAAGAAGACAATCGAAAAGGGGTTGCAAAGGAAAAAATAGACATCGAGTCTCCCGATTGAGTGACAGGCGGAACAGTTGCGACAGCTTTTTAAATGCCATTGCCACGCCCACTCGCACGTTTACGACCGCCACCGAAGTTGCACTTGAGACCGAGACATGAACTTGGCCTAGGCAATTGGGTAGGCAGCCCGGCAAGACACTTGTTTAATCAATAACAGACAGGACACGCAATTTCCTTGAGGCCCGGGCCAAGTCGAGGCACTTGACACTTGGTTTCCTTACGACCGAGTTGAATGAACGGCCCGTTGGGGTTGCCATAGTTTGTTAGCGTAAACTAAACTCAATCCCTCTCTCTCTCTCTCGGTCTCTTCTCACAGGACATCGGCTCACCTGGCAGGCATACCATCGCTTGGAGGACATTCATGGCTTCATTGACTATATGGCCAAGACCTATCCGGACATCTGCTCCACCGAAACGATTGGCTACTCCGTGGAGAAGCGTCCGCTCAAGATACTCAAGTAAGTGGAAAAACAGAACTTAATATTTTAGGAGAAGACTAATGCCCAATCGTCGCAGGATCTCAAATGGCAATGCACGCAATCCCAGCGTCTGGATCGATGGTGGCATGCATGCCCGCGAATGGATCAGCCCGGCCACGGTCACCTTCATAGCCAATCAGCTGATCGAGGGCTGGGAGGATCTGCCCGATCACATGCGCAACATTAACTGGTACATCCATCCGGTGGCCAATCCCGACGGCTATGAATACTCCCACACAACGGATCGCCTGTGGCGCAAGAACATGCGCTCCCATGGTCGGCAATGTCCGGGCGTCGATCTCAATCGCAACTTTGGCTACAAGTGGGGCGGCAAGGGCACCTCGGCCAGTCCCTGCTCCCAGACGTATCGTGGCAGCAAGGCCTTCTCCGAGCCCGAAACGTTCTACATTTCGAAATTCATCAGCGGCTTCCCACGCGACACCTTCCAGGCGTATCTCTCGTTCCACAGCTACGGCCAATACATACTCTATCCATGGGGCTATGACTATCAACTAACCAAGGATCGCGCCGATCTGGATCGTGTGGCACGCCAAGCGGGCTCGGTAAGATCAGTTGGCCTAGCGAATCATTCGTGAATACCAATTCAATATCCATTCCTCCGCCCATTTCAGATTATCACCAAGTCTTCGGGCGTCAAGTATACTGTGGGATCGTCGGCTACGACGCTTTATCCCGCTGCCGGTGGCTCTGATGACTGGGCCAAGGGCATTGCGGGCATCAAGTACGCCTACACCATTGAGATGGGCGACACGGGTCGCTACGGCTTCGTCCTGCCCGCCAAGTTCATCCAGTACAACGGCAAGGATGGCTACACCTTTGCCGACACCCTCGCTCGCGCCATCATTCAGGGTCGCTCGAAGGATGCCCGCAGCAGCACCCGCAGCATCCGTCGCCGCGTTCGCTAGTTGCCTTCCTCCTAGACTTAGCTCAATATGAATTTTTTTTTCTCGCATTCATAATTTATTTATTTTTTTTTTTTTTTGTAATGTTATTTATACGAAACTATTTATTTATTTATTTATTTGTAACTAGACAAATTGAATATATCAAAATAGACTGAGACATGTTTATTGAAAAAGAAAAACAAAGAAAATCGTTTTGAAAGCGTACTACAATTACCCTGAAAGGGTGATTCTCTAGAATCAGACGAACATATCTTTGGGGTAGAAAAGTCTAGGGCATACGACCAAAAATATCATATTCAAAGAATATACACAATTTATGAACACCTCAAGATATTAGATGATGGTTTTTCGTATATGTATAGATGATCTATATATGCTCAATTGTCTGCCAACAAAATGATCTACAGCTAAACTGCGGATGATGACAGATGATCTATAAACGATCGACGGATGACTTATAAATTATTTTCATTTAGTCTACAAATCAAATACAAATTATTGATGATCCATAAATGAACTGCAGAGCATTTACAGAGTATCTTTGCTCAAAACTTTCTCTGAAAGTCTTCTAAAAATATATACAAATTTATTTCAGGAATGTTCCATAAATAAATCTTACAGTCCCATTCAGTTTATTCTTATATCTATTATCATTTTCAAATTTGATTGATTAATTAATTTCCCAATTCCCAGCATTCCGAAAATATACGACTTTATTGAATGTAAATCACGAGCTACGACAATGAATTTTAACTAAGATTTATGGCACAAATAAGATTTATATGATTATTATGGATAAGTATGGCGGATCAAAAAACTGGTTAGTTCCAATATTATACATGATAAGAGGTCGAATATGCCTCACGTTGTACGTGCAGAGAACAAAGTCAGAGACAGATAGAGAGAGAGAACGTAAGTGAAAGACCTCGACAGAAACAGAGAGAGAGGGAGAGAAGGCGAAACGAAAGCATCTGAGAACTGCAACAAATAGTTTTGGCAGTATAACAGTATAACAGTTATTTATAACATTTCGAGCAAAGTAAAAGTTAAGCTATGCAAATTTCTGACCCAGCAGACGATTGTGGCGTGTGTGTGTGTGTGTGTGTGTGTAGAGAATTGAGAACAGAGGCAAAAGCGAAAAATGTAGCCGTTATTTGGCCAATTCGAAGCGTGCCGCATGCCAAACAGAATCGAACATCGAATCGAGCAACATTCATCAAGCAAATTCGAACGCCGCTAACGCCGAGTTTCTAAGAATGCATTACGCATACGCACTGCTGGCCGTCGCATTGGCCGCATTGTGGCTGCCACAGCCGGAGGCAGTGAGGCGCTACGATCTGTTCGCACGCAGCGGCGACAATCTCGTCCGTCTGCCCTTCTTCGGCGGCGGCGTCGCCCAGCTGCTGCGCTACCTGCGTCCCCTGGAGCAGCCCAGCGGCGGCTTGAGCAGACGCTCGCCACTGCGCGCCGCACTGGACGAGAACTATGTGAGCTATCGCGGCGTTCAGCTCTGGAAGCTCAACTTCAATGGCACTCGCAAAATGGGCGACAAATCACCGGATGCCCAGTTCCAGCAGTTCGTCGAAGATTTCGGTGAGTAGTGCCTGAGGGGGGCGCTCAGCGGCAGCCCATCAATTTAGCCAAAATACACAGAAATCGACTCGAGCGACGTTCTAACGAGGCGCTCAATCACGGAATACACATATTTCATGTTTCCGATTGGGAACCAAACCAAAAGCGAGCGAGGCTGTACCGAAGATTTGATGCTCTACCATAAGTTAATGAATCACTCAATGTGAGTCGGATTGGTTGATTGATTACACCAGTTTGATTGACTAACTGACTGACTGATGATGTACGTTGAAGTCAATAGGAACTAGCTAGACAGAATAGTTGTTTGATTGAAGATCTACATTAAGGATAATCAGAATAGATCAAAGTGATAGATCGAATAGATCATTCAATCTATACAATGACTGTGTTGACTGCTTGAAGAGTGGATTGAGGTACAGCTAGACTGAATTCAAGATGGACTGATAAGAGAAAAACTTGTAAAACTAGAAATAATGCTGGAACTAGTATTACTTCACCACTTTTGACTCTCAAGGTTGATTGATTGATAAGCAAAGCAAAATGTTGGGACAGCTAATTATCTAATACATTGGGCAGTCTTCTATCATAACTCAAGAGAAACAAATAAGCAATCAAAATATGTATCCATGTATTAATTAAGTAGGCATTTTAAGATAATAGACGGAATTTAGAAATTTATATTGATCGCTGATGACTATCCTTAAAGATATGCAGAGTAGACTTCAAGAAGCGGTCAGGTATGCAAATCGAGTGCGAAGCTTGTAACTGTTCGAAAACACCTGCTGCTGAATTCGAGATCAAAGGTGGGCTATTGACCTCTTTACCGTAAGAATAGAATCGAGCAGCGTGTCAAACATCAAACGCCCAGCCACAAACAGTGACTCAAGTTGAACCACAGTTAGACAGCCGGTCAGCCAGTCAGCTAGTCAACTGCTAATCACCTGGCGAGAGGCAGGCAGGTGGCAGGTGTTCTGCACGCATAAAATTGACATTAATCAAGAAATTTTCGAGCTTAGAATTCGGCGAATCTTGACCTTCTGCTGAGAGATGCGAGAGTGTGGAGAATTAGTTCTGTTTGTGTGGCACGATCAGCATGATGTTATTATTGTTGGCACTGGGCCTCGTACCGCTGCTGACCACTGTTGCCGGCGTCGGTGGTGCACAGTGGCTGCTGTGGCGCAGCGTCTCAGTGCCGGGTCTCACGGCTCTGCCCGACTTGTGGACGCTCAACAGCAGCGAGCTGTACGAGGCGACCTTTGAGAGCCTGCAGTGGCTCTCGCCCACCGATTTGCGTCGCTTCGATTTCCTATCGCCCAGCTCCACATATCAGATCAATCGACGCTATCGCAGCGGCGCCTCGGTGAAACGATATTACGGCCATCAGCTCTGGAAGCTGCACGAAACGCGCCTCAGGCAGCCAAAACTACGCACATTCCTGCGACACTTTGGTAGCCATGAGCCCAACATACCTCTCATTCCATCCATTCATCCATCATGCTGATAAATCTCTTAATCGGTGTATTTCGCAGGCAGCGAGGTGTGGAACGTGAATCAGGACGGCATCGATGTGATCATCGAGCACAAGAACGTGGCTGCCGCCCAGCAGTATATGGCGCAGACCGCGTTCAGCTACAACATCATGATCGACGATCTGGAGACGGCCATCGATGAGACGTACACGGAGATCAGCGACACGGACACCGACCAGGACAATCCATTGGCCAACTACTCGCTGCCGTGGCTAAATCGTGAGGGTGTTCTCCTCACCTGGCGACGCTATCACGACCAAGCAGATATACAGCAATTCCTGCAGAATGTCCTGGAAACGCATGCCGAGCTGGCGGAGATCGTTCAGATTGGCGTCACGCGCAACAAGCGACCGCTGGAGGTGCTCAGGTCTGTAGACAGTTACGTATTGCACTACGTAAACGTTTTACGCGTGTGTACTGCTCACTGTTAAGTCTGCACTGTTAATTAACACGGCTGCTAATGCTACTAATTGCTCTGTTGGCTTTGCAGAGTCTCGAATGGCAATTCAAATAATTTCGCGGTCTTTGTGGATGCCGGCATGCAGGCACGCGATTGGCTCAGCCCGGCGGCGCTGACCTATGCCATCTCGAAGCTGACCTGGCTGTGGGAGCAGGGCCAGGCGGACAGGGCGATGCGTCACATCGACTGGTACTTCCTGCCGTTGGTCAATCCCGATGGCTATCAGTACTCGCGTCTCACCGATCGCCTGTGGACCAAGAATCGCAATTATGACGCGGCCACCGGCTGCTACGGCGTCAATTTGGATCGCAACTTCGACTATGCCTGGGGCGAGGCGGGCGCCTCATCCAATCCGTGCAAGAATCTCTATAGGGGCGCCAAAAGCTTCTCCGAGCCGGAAACACGTGCCATGCGCAGCTTTCTGCTGGGCATGCGCGACTATTTGGGCGCATATGTCTCGTTCGGCGGCTACGGCCAGACGATTACCTATCCGTGGGGCGACGCCGACTATGTGACCAGCAATCAGCGCCAGCTGCGCCACACAGCTCGCCAGGCCATCCTCAACTTCCGTCGCCTCAACCACGCCGAGTACAGCATGGGCAGCAGCTATCGCCAGAAGCTGGCGAGATCGGGCAACGCGGCCGACTGGGTGCAGCAGCACATCGAGCCGCAGTTCGTCTACAATGTCTTCCTCAAGGATCAGGGCCGCTATGGCTATCTAATGCCGCCCCACTACATACTCGAGTCCGGCGAGGAGGTTTACGAATTCCTAAAGACCATTGCACAGCAGTTGCAATAAGTCAAGCCGCATTGAGTTATCTTGATTGCTTGATCAGCATTTATATAAATTTAATTTAATTTGATTTTTTTTTTTTTTTACACTATTTATTTATTTATTTGTCATTTGTTTTGCTTTCAATGCAAACAGCGCGCTATATTAATTAGATTAAACCGAATTCTGCTTGAAATAAACATGAGACATGCAGCATACATATATGTACGTATGTGTATGTGTATGTATATCCATTCGAACAATAGATTTCTCGTCTCTTTATGGGTTTCCATTGAAACTTTATGCAAACAGTTGGCAAAACTTTCAAATGTTTATATCTTTACTGTAATCATCTAATAATTATGGCATAGTCTTGCTAATGGACTTGAGCTAATAGCAACTCTTAAGGCAAACATGAATAATGATGCCACGACTGTGATCGATATCGCTGTAAGATGCCAGGGAAGCACCCAGAGTAATTCATGTGTTTATTTTCCCACTAAAATTATTCATTTTGTGATTGAAATTTATAGAACTTTGAACTGCTTGCTTCAGAGAGGGCGAGAGAGAAAAAAGCGTTGCATGCTTTTAGGCGAACTACTTTAAGCTGTACTTAAACCCAGAAGCAATTATTAAATGAAGCAAACGATATATATTTAATATAAATAAATATATAAAAAATATATATACACACACACACATAGATAACCAAATAGAAAGCAGTCAGGGAACAAAAAAAAAAAAAAAAAAAAATTAAAAAAAATTAAAAAACGATAAATCGAAGAAAAAAGCAAAGCAATATATATCCAA